GAATTTGAATTTATTGAAACTAAAAAAAAACTAACTATTTAATCCATACATTATTATAATTAACTTGAAAAAGTGTATGAGTCAAATGTATATTTCTCTTTTTTAAAAGTGCTAGTTAATCCTTTTTAAATATATGCCATCCCTCTTTTCTTCTTGTCGTTGTGTACCCCTCTTGTTATGTACCCATCACCATACACAGTACCTTCTGGGATACACAAGCATTTACCCTTGCTAAAATTGATTTAGATCCAGGATATTTTATGCGTTCGTCCATTGGTGAGAATTCTAATGACAATTATGATGGACCAATCAAGTTTTTAGATCAAAATTTTACGTGATAAGTCATGTTATGGTGATCAAATGTGGCTTGTCTTGCTTTAGCGATCTCCCCGATTTGATAATAACAAAAATAACCAATAGCATTGCGCATTTTCAGAAATTTCTACTGTAATAAATGAAAAATGTGAGAAATGTGAAACAAATGTCTAAATTTGGTCCGGAGTACTAACGCTAATAAAAAATGTCGATCCTAATCCTAATCTTAAACCATTCTTTAACCTTAATCTTTTTTTGTGTCAGTTTGTTTTGCTGAATTGATCAAAAATTTATGCATTCTTATTGGCTGTTTTTTATCATAACCAAATCGGGTGAAATACACGCGTCATCTGCGAACTACACAACTTGGGACGTGTTGATTAGTGTTAAAAATAGTAAAGTACGATTACACTATGTGTGCGAGATGAGACACGTTTCTTTTTTTGTGGCTTAGTCATTATCAATAGTGTGTATCTACCCGATTTGGTTATGATAAAAACAGCCAATAATGATCAGCAGATATGTTCTCCTAAAAGATGTGCTAATGTATATTCTTATAATTTTCAACGTATAACAAATAGGATTTTTATATGTAAAAAACTGCAATGAAATCTTTTGCTCTATAGCTTGCTCTGAATATTTCTTTGTTTTTTCTCTTTGCAATATTAAAATTAAAAGCTTTAAAGATATGAGTTATTTTAATACGTTTTTATAGTTATAGAGATATTGGTTCAAAAAGAATCTTAAACCAAAAGTACTAATAATGACAATCCAACACAATAATAACGATAGTTAATATCCAATGAATAATCTACTTGATGACTATTGCTATAGTGATCCTGATAAAGATTATGAAATTCTCGATGATAGTGATGATAATTATAATTATGAGGAGCTATCTGACTTATCTACAACATTTACAAGTACCGCAAGTAATACAATCAATAATTCTTCTGAAGATCCAATTTACGAGTTTAAATTTGACAAATTTGCTTTAAATCATGCTAAGAAATTTGTACAAAATATTGAAACGGAAGAAAATCAAATAGATTGGCTAGCATCTGACATCGATACCGATACTATTAGCGAAAATGATTCCATTTGGATATAATCAACTGATGATGATGATGGTTTTGATTATGAAATAAAACACAAAGAATTTATCAAAATTAATAATACTAAACAACAATGTATTCTTATGGATATTATAGATGGAAAAATACAACGTTGTAATAATCAAGCAAATCGACCTCTAAAACAACTCGTAGGAATCTGAGAGTTAGATTTCAATGAAGTGAATTCCGCGTTAAGTTTAGGACTAAAAAATGCGTTAGAGTTTCTTGGCGTATGTAACAGTCATTTTAATTTTGACCAAAATCAGCTTCATGTACGTGGCATAAAAAATCAAATTTCTATAGAAAAAAGTTTAATTCATTTACGAAAATGTCTTTTCTGTAACAACAACAAGTACTTTTTTAGCCGAAATGATCATTGTCAACAACACTCTTGGAAAGTTTTAGAACGAAATATTCATATCCCTTGTAATGCACTATTGAAATGCCCTGTATTTAATCAAAACGAGATTTCTCAACTATCCACCAACAAAACTCGTTCCTGATTTATTTGTCCTTCTTGTTTTGAAAAAGAAGGTGATCATATTTTTCAACGATGAGGAAAAGACACAACACGATTTTCTTGTTCGGATAAACATCATGATGATACTACCAACTCATTATATATCTTAGGACAATGGATTC